GTTTTAACCACTACCATAGGAGGGGAGCCCAAGACACTGATGAGGGTACAAGACCCTGAGAACAGCCCACGAGGAATAACTAGGCGACACTCAGTTCACTGCATTCCTTCTCCCCAGGGGACTGTTACTCCCAAAGAGTAACTGAACTAAGTGAGATAATCCCAGGCTGTTTATGACCTTGACAGGCACCAAGAAGTCAATACATCTGCCAACGCTGACGTTCAAATATCCCACCCAGAAGAGTTTGCTGGGAATGTTTCCTTGAAGAAGACAGGACAAAACTTACCAGTGATTTTCTCATTCATTCATTTTTACTGCCCTGATTTTCAAAGTAAATTGAGACAGCTTAGAATAAAAAAATGCAGAATCAATAAAGCAATCATTAATAACAGCTAACATGTATTGAGTATAAGTTATGTGCTAAGAATTCCTCTAAGAATTTTACAAGTAATACTGTTTTAACCTTCACAGCAACCTTTTGAGATAGGCCCTACTTTTATCGCCCACATTTTACAAATGGAAAAAGAAAACAGAGAACTTAATACATTTCTTCACGGTTGGTTACACAGCTAGTAAGTGGTGCGAACCAGGCTTTAAATCTAACAATCTTTTCCACTGGAGAGGTCAACCACTATGCTATGCTTCCTCCTAAAACAAGTCTAAAAGAACAACAGCACAGTAATATTCCACAAGTGATGACAACTGAAGACAAAGACAAACAAAGGCACTAAAACTGAAAATAAAATTTGATATGAACTTCCCAGCAACCAGTTCTTAAAGAAGAAGGTGAGAAATTAACCTCAGTAGGGCGATCAAACATCCTGGTTAGCGGAGGTATATGGGTCTCCCAGAACACAGGACTTTCAGGGCAAAAGCCAAGATGGCTGGATGTCCTGCTGAAAAGGGTTTTATAATATTTTATTAGGCCTCACATAATTAAAAATACACAGAATCTTTATGGTGCTCTCAAATCCACACTGGCTCCTTCAGCAACTCCTCCCACCAATATTAAAAATACTAAACAATTTTCTCAACACTCTCCTTGGGAAAAAAGAAGGGATTGTGTTAAAATGAAACACCATTAATTCTTGGTTTTCAATCATCACATCTATCACTATGTTCAAGAGTCTGGGTAAGAGGAACACACAAATTCTCGGCTAAATTCTGCCCTATGAACTCCAGCTGTGCTTTCATTTTCTTTCCCAAGGTCATTTAAAGTTGCCTTCTTTAAAAAAAAAATCTTCCTTTAGATCTTACCATTTGTGACAATATGGATGGACCTAGAGGGTATTATGCTAAGTGCAATAAGTTAGACAGAAAAAGACAAATACCATACAATTTCACTTCTATATATATACATGGAATCTAAAAAACAAAAACAAACAAAACAATGGATAAACAGACAAGAAAAGCAGAAACAGACCCACAAATCCACAACATAAGGTATAGACTTGTCCAATCACTGTGTTGTACACCTGAAACTAAAGTAACATTGTGTGTCAACTATACTTCAATTAAAGAAAAAAATCTTCCCTATGTCACAGGCAGAGATGCAGGCCAGTGGTTCTTAGAAAGCTTGGTGGCAGCCTTGTCAGAACTCACAGGAGAAACCAAACCAATACCAAGCAGTAAATCTCCTAAAGTCACTTGAAACAAGAGTTCTGAAATCAGTAAGGAGTTGGATGAAGATGTAGGCCAAGTTTTATGTATCTGTATCCCCCCTATAGCAACCCCTTGGAAATAACTGTTGTCTTTTTTTTTTTTAAGATTTTATTTATTTATTTGACAGACACAGATCACAATGAGGCAGAGAGGCAGACAGAGAGAGAGGAGGAAGCAGGCTCCCTGCTGAGCAGAGAACCCCACGTGGGGCTCGATCCCAGGACACTGGGATCATGATCATGACCCGAGCCGAAGGCAGGGGCCTCAACCCACTGAGCCACCCAGGCACCCCAATAACTGTTGTCTTAATTGCAATCTTAATCCAGTATGTCAGAGCTAAAAAGATCCATAACTGTCATTTGGTGCAAATGTGTCCAAATGAGTAAACTAAGGAATGGAGAAGACAAGTAAATTGCCCAAGGTGGGTCACAAAATGGACATGAGACTAACTGAATTAAATGGCAATTGCGCTATTCCTTAATTAAGGCAAGAAAACCTTATACTAGGTTGTGTGAAAGAAAACAATGGATCACGTAAGGCACCAGGATTTTAATTTCAATTCACGTGATCCACAATGGGTCTTCACAGACCTCAGTTGTAAGTGAAAAAGGAAAGGAAACATAGTCAGGATCCCATGTAAAATAATGAGCAACGATTCAAGGAGAAAAGACAAAATATTTTTAGGGAAAGGAACAAACCTTTGGTGTGACACGAGAATTTCAGAACGACCAAAGAAATTTTAGACTAAATATTTTATGGATATTTTCCAGTCAATTTAAGTTTCTGTTTAGACTAGGCGCATTTTTTTTTTTTTAACTATAAAAGAAACATAACATGATCACATTTAACCAAGATACCTGAATGCCTAGTATGGGTCAGTCACTGTGCTAGGGCAGCAAGGAAAAGTGAAACCAAGGAAAAGGTGAGCCAGCTGCTCAACAAGACACACACACCTTCATACAAACACTCAGAATGCTGAGATAGAACAGAAAAATTCCAATGAAATTCTCCAAATCTCAATCACAATATCTCATCTCAGTGCACAGTCAAATCATTGGATGAATCCATCAATCCATCAATCAGTATTTCTGAACACCTTTTACCTGCTCAATCACTGCTTTCAAGACACGAAGGACAGAGAGATAATACATCCAAGTGGTATGGGCTGACGTAGGGACTAGGGGTGTTGTGCTGGGAAGTGGGGCACAGCCAATTTGGACAGTGAGAGAGAAAAGTTTTATAGGTGGAAAGAGGCCTGTACTGACTTGAGGCATTTGGTAAGCATTCAATGAGCAGAGCTAAGTGTGCTTCTCACACCTCAGCACTAAAAGCAATGGCACCAAGACAGAGACGGCCAAGGTGTGCTCAGGAGATAGTGAGCCAACCTGCAAGCGGCTGGAGCAAAGGGTTCGAGAACAAGCCCTCCTTAGGTGATGAAGGTGAAAGGGCCAGCTGCACCCAGAAGGTGGGAGAGTGCTGACTCCAACCTGGGAAGTCTAGTGAGGGGCTATAGAGCTGTCCAAGCTACCACTGCAAACCTCATTTTGTAAGACTTTTTTTTTTTTTCCCTCCAAAAAAAGGTATGTAATTTGATCCTTTGATTTTTTTTCATGGCTAGATCTAAGCAGATTAGTTCTAAGGTTACATGATTTTTTAAATATCTGTTTGTTCCCAGTTCACCAACAGAATCTAGGGCCATGAACAAGTGAAGACTTAAGGTGATATTCCCTATCAGTCATCCTCCATTCCTCTCAGGAATCTGAGGCAAAACATACTCTCTTTTGCCTGAAAGGAAACAGAATTCACAAAGTTCTTTGTGATTCCTTAATATAAAACGTCACACCGGCAGAACAGAGCTAAAGGTATCCCAAGTACAGCTTGCACAAATTCTATAATGTATTTGAAGAAAAAGAAATCATTAGAGGCAGAAGAATAAAAGGAAAATTTGAAATGAACACAGACTTATTGTTCAGAAAATCCATTTTAACAAAGGAAAATCGTATTCACTTTAAAAACTTTCCCTTAAAATCATGTTAACAATCCTCCATAATCATGAATAAATTGATTTAAGGAAAGTATAAAATTCTTCAAAATAGTTTAGCACTAACCATTCACAAAGACTTCTTTCCCATTTTCTTCTCTTTTTTTTTTTCCCAGAAATCCCATCGTAAGTAATTCAGTAACTATAGAATATACTTGCAAAGTAACATCCTAGTATTTATACTAATACCTAGGCAGTCAAGAGAGATCTTTTTGTTTCACTAGTGTTTCCAAATTTGGGTGGGGGTGGGGGTGGGATGGGGGGTGGGTTGTATGTGTATGGGGGAAGGGGGTCCTACTATTTTTTAAATACTCAAATAAAACAAATACCAAAAAAGAACTTGTGACTTAGACATCCCCCAAGTTCAGTTTTGCCAGGAATGGAAAAAACAGTCAACAGAGCCCTAACCTCCTTTCTCTCTTGACTATACAATGGTGTTCAAAGAGGTTTAGTCCTACTATGAAAGACTCATGTTAGACATTGGAAGGGTCTAATAGAGAATGAGCACCAGGCATTGAATCAACTAGGGATATGGTGACCTTTTGCCCCTTCTGCTGAAAGCCCAGCACATCCTGTAGCAGAGGAACAGAAAGAAGCTGGTGTGCATGCAGGTGCTGCAAAATCCTGGCCTCTGGATTTCTCCCACACTCTGTTCCTTAAACAGCTTAAAACTGAAACATGACTTCAATAGTATTAGGGAGTGAGAGAAAAGTACAATTCCTGGAACCAACTGTTCCACTGTCCCTTAATCCTTTGTTCCCCATATTGTTTGAGTCCTGCAGCATGCAGCACACGTTCCACGAGCAACAGGCAAGACAATGGATTTAGCAGTGGCTGGACAATTAGTCCCAATTAGGCCTATTTCCCAGCTGAATGTAAAGGGGTAGTGGGGTGAGGTGTGTGTGTTGGGGGGAAACTGCAGAAATTTTAAAGAAATATTTCCTCGGGGAGGCAAACAATACAGGTAAAGCAAACTGAGCCAGGGGTCAGGAGACTCTGCCAAAGTCACTGTGTGACACCGGGCAAATACCTTAACCTCTCTGTTGTTATCCACAAAATGTGGGCATCAGACCACTGGTGATCTAACGTCAAACTGGTTGAAAATACGCTGAAAAATCTGAAAAAGTTACACAGTTGCAGGGTCTTCCTCTGAGCTGTATTTGGAAGCACGGATACCCATCTGTTTTACCAATCATATACCTTTTTATTCTCCCTGGCAGAAGTCATTAGAGACTTCCTTATTTTACTTCTATTTTCTTGATTGCTAATTTCTTTTAAGTTCATGAGTGATACTTACATATGTACATGTGGTGGCTGGAATCTGCTCTGGTTGATGTTGTAGTGCGTGAATGCCTGGGTAGGGTTTGAGCTGTACTCATCCACCGTTATGGTAACTTTGCCTTGAGAAGGAATTCCATGAGCCATCCTTCCTCCCTATAGGCATGAGCAATTCACAACTTTCCGGAGCAAAGGATGGACGCAGGCATGGTGTGTTTCAGCCAACCTCTGAACCCAAGGATCTACTCATCAATACCACTGTGCGTTTCTGGAAAAAAAAAAAAAATTATAAAATGAGAACAAAGAAAAAGAAGGTGCTCTAAAAAATGTCAAATACAACACCTAGACATGAAATGGGCACAAGAAAAATCGTAACACGTGTCGTTGCCTCGTGAACACAACCTTTCCCAACACTCTACCCTGCATGCACCTTGGAACGGACCCTGTACTCCATAGCACATTGCTGGCTGCTAGCAAATCACTTCCATGGCGTTCCAACTAAGATTTCCTCTTTAATTATAATTACGGCACTTAACATGAATTACAGAAGGGGCATATCCACAGTTGCCATGGTGTCTAACTATAAATGGTTTGTGCTCGAAGTGGAGAATCTTCCAAACTTGCCGTGCAAATTGGAATGTTTGGTCTGTACAAAGTTGATGTCATAGAATAACGTGGAATCTCAATGCTTAACACAGCCACAGAACACGTTTAAAATGCTACACTTACAACAGGTACCTGTGTATAACTATAACACATACGTAATATACGCACACGTTACACACAATTTTTTCTTTCACAAGCAGTTCCCCAAATACATAGGTACTCAGCGCCTGGTCTACATATGTATTCCACTCTGGCCAAGAATCTTATGGTAAGGCAAATCCTTCTTGCTAAGTGTAATTATGATTTCTTCAAACACTCCAGTCACACGGAAGAAAGTCAAACACATCGAGGCTTGGACCACTACTTAGATGCATTCATTACGCCCCGCTTAGAGCCCAAAGAGAGCCCCGAAAGGGGGCGGCCATTACGTCGACCACCTCATTCTTGCTTGGTGCTGTATAATTCTCAGTAGCTGGTTTCATTCTTTCAAAATTTCCATTAGTTTTGATTATTCTGATAAATGTCAATATATTATTTGTTGCACTGGGTTGAGAAATGAGGATGTTTATTTTTATGGTAGGTATGCAAAGACAGCAAATCCCTGCACTGAGAGCTGTTGGAACTCCTCGGTGCAACAGAGAAGAAACGGGTAGCACCCTCCTTGAGTAACCCTTGGGTAACCCACGCTCTTTGCTTGAAGTGCTCTGCATCAGAATATGTTTACCATGTGCACCATTAAGCTCCAGGAATCTTAACTGCTATCTCAAATAAAAATATTTAGAATAATAAGATTAGCTTTAGATTTGGCATGAAACACCTTAGATATCAGGCAAAAGGCAGATGGCCTGCCATAGGCCATTTATTTTATTATTTTACAACCCGGGGGGTTGTGTAGTCCTCCATATGCTAGCTGGGCTAAGAAATTCCACAGTGTTCTACGCAAATCATTGCCTTCTTCCTATTAGCAAAGCAAGCTAAATGACACCCACCTTGTCTTCGTTCCTAATGCACAGCGCCACTGCCAAGAGATGAATCCCTGGTGTTCTGGCATTTTAAACAAAGTGTCACTTTGGGTTCTCTTTCTTCTTCCTGACTTCATGGGAGGTAGGAGTCCTGTAAGCACTAGTTGATAGACAACCAGGCCAGTAGGATTAACTAAATTAAAATCTCTCCCTGCTCCTTTGATGCAAGATATCTGTAAGAACTGCTTACAAATCATAATGTAGCAGTTTTCATACCAAGTTTGCAGCTGTTTCCTTAATTTCCCCCACAATTATATTTTACTGTTATTTTGCATAACAGTAAAACACAACACCTGCTTCAAATTGCAGTCCTGTTCTAAGTACTGTAATTCTCTTTTGAGACACAAAGTACTGAGACACTACTGAAGCGCAAAACTGCATAATTGCACCACGCTGAAAAGTAAATACAAATGAAAACATCTTCCTGTTATAGAAATGGCTGTCATTAAAAAGAATGTTAGCCATCAAAGCACAGAGGGAAAAAAAATACACATTTTCAGACCGCGAGAACTTAGTGTTTGCATAAATTAAAGAGTGGTGTAAATTACATGGCAATTCTTGTGTTCCTGCCATCAATGTCTATTGTGTGAGATACACAGCATTAAGAAGCGGAGGAGACAAAATTCATGTCTACACCACAGTGACCTCTCTGTAACGATCTCTGCACTCTGCGCCAGAAAAAGGTTTAAATGTTTCTGGATAAAACTCACCAATTAAACTAAGCGAAAGAGCCTAGAAATAAAATTTCCACACCCATTATGTAAATATCTATGCAGTGACTTAGAGTACTTATTAGATCCTCCCATTTGAAGCAGAAAAGAGAACGTAGAAGGTGATCAATTCACACTCCTCAATGGTCCAGTCTATCCTGAAGTCCAAGTCGGATTGCCTTTTCTATCAAGTGAACATCTGTGCCTCTTTGCACCTTTGCCCCAGCAAGACAAACAGAACATCTTTTCATCAGCAAGCACAGACCCCCGTAACTCTGAAGGGCTAATGGGTGGCTGGCACCTCATTTGAATTCATCTTCACCACGTTCTCTTTCAAATGTTTTATCGAAAGAGTGCACCTGCAGTGTCTACCTTCTTTAATCTGGAGTCCTTTGAAGAAACTGTCGGACTGAGGCAGAGAGCTTCAAAACTTTCACAGGAACCTTTACAGGCAAGTCAAAAAAAGGCTTATTTTTTAAAATACTATGTTCACCCCAACTCAGATATTAAACACCAACACATGGAAAAGGCGTTTTTTGTTTTGTTTTGTTTTGTTTTCCTAACAAACTCTCAAAGAGAGGGGACAATGGCCCCTCCTCTGACCTGTGAAATTTGGGAAAAGCTTTAAACAAGACAGAGTGATACACTATCCTAAAACTATCCAGAAGCGGATTTACCTTGCTTCACATATTTAGGCAGTAAAATCTTCCAAATGTTCAGATTTTGGAGCATCTCATTCTCATTACCCTTCACTTTTTACATATAATATTTAAAGAGCCAGTATTCTTTCAATTTTCATTTTATATTTCAGCACATTTGCTCCACAAAACAAAAGAACTTGGTACTAAATGCCAGGAATCCTAAAGGAAAATCTAAAAGGGACTTACATTGCCAAACATTCATGCTGGTGCTAGTTTGATTTTCGCTTAAAAAAAAAAAAAATCATGTGGGCTCATTTTGCATTTCCTAGACAGCAATCGCGTCTCCCATCCCTTAAGCTGTGCAACTTGCAATGTTCTTTTTCAAGAATCTGGCTGGAAATCCTTTTAAAAGTCTGCTGGCAATGAAAGGATTAAAAGCTGAGGAATTAAATAACTGTCTCCACCTCCTAGACATCAGAAGTCCAATTTACCAAAAGTTTCAAAGCAACAACTGATGACCTCCCTACCCGAGCTCGCTCGGCACAGCCTATGAGAAAGGAGCCCGTGATTTCCTCGTTTAAACAAGGATGCTCATTTTATTCACCAGCCCTCAGAAGACCGCCCGACCGCCAGGCCGGACTTTGGAACTCGCCTGCTCCAAACTCCACCAAATTTCGCTCTCTCCTCCCTCTGCCGCACGGATCGAGTGATTTCTCAGCTCACGCCCCTACTCTTTTATGCCCACCTCCAGTTACTCATCCCTGTATCCCGTAGCGATGCCTACTAGCCTTCTCAGAGGCGTCTGCGCCAGGGTTTTGAAAGGGATGCACAAAGTTCCACGTGCCTCTGTCCACAGAGCGCCCCCCCTCTCCCACCGCACTTACACCTGAACTTGTCTCCAGCACTGCGGACACCCTCCTGGCACATTCTTTCGGAGAGAAAGGGCAGGACTTTTCTCCTGCGCCTCTGGCAACGCGTAGAGCCTATATATGGTGGGGCGGGGGGCGCGGAATTCTCTACTTTGGATTGGTTTGTTTGTTTTAAATCTAGGGTGGGCAGTTAGGGGGGTGTCCTTCAGCAACTACACACACACACACACACACACACAAACACACACACTCTCTCACTCACTCTCTCTCTCTCTCTCTCGCCCTGCCCTCCCGGCTCACGGCCGGCTCGTCCGGGCTACAGCTCCCCCTTCCTTCCTGGAGCACCAGCTCGCCTTACTCGCTCAGTCCCCCGTTGCCACCACCGTCGCCTCCGCTGCTGCCGCCGCTGCTGGCACTGCTGGAGCTGGCGCTCGCGGCCCGGGGCTCCGCTGGGCGCCTGTCTTTCTTTCTCTCTCTCCCCCAGCCCCGGATTGATTGATGACCACCGGCGGCCAATGGCTCTGACACCGCGCCATCCTCGCTCGAGCATCACAGCCCCACGCCCCCGACGTCAGCCTCGCGGGCGCATTGGCATCCCCGAACCCTCAGAGCGGAGCCCGCGCCCGGAGCCGCCGCCGCCGCCTCCCCGCTCTCTGCCCCGGAGCTGTCGGGCTGCTTTCCTGGAGCGGCGGAGAAAGGAAGGGAGGGAGCCAGCGAGCGTTAGAAGGGGGTGTGGAGGCCACGGATTTCCCCCCTCTTTAGAAATCTTTTCTTTCTCTTAAAGTTTTGTTTGTTTGTTTCCACCCTGACCTGTTTGTGTTCGTTTGCAGCATCTAAATCAATTACACGTTTGCATGACCCGCATTTGCACTGAATTTGGGGTACGTTGGGGGAGGGGGTTAGTAAATGTTCTCTAAATCTACCCCACCGGGGCATCCTTAATTTCTTGCTGGTGGATTCTAACTCCCTCCGCGATCTCCAGAAAAATGCCCCCTTCAGCTCCTAGGCCGCAAAACCCCGGAATTCAAAGGCTTTAAAAAGATAACCCTGTTCCGTGTAAATAGCAAAGAAACTCCTTCTCTGGAGAAGAAATCGGGCGGCAATGGTTACTTTTTCTTCCCGCTCGTACCCCCGCCGCCCTGCCCGGGTCGCCGGCTCGCTCCGCAGGCTGCGATGGTGAAGAAACCAGAGGCGGCAGGGGACAGCGAGGTTGGGGCGCGGGGAAACGGTGAGAAAAAGACCCGCGCGGGAGCTGCGCGCGCGCGGGCGGCCCCGGGGGCGACAGCGGAGCGCAGCCCAAGCACAAAGCTGCGCGGCGCCTTCCCGGCCACCGCACCTCGCTCGGGCCGCCTCGGGCGCCCGGGGCTCGGGCCAACACAATGCACCCGGGCCTAGGCCGGGGCGGTTCGAACACATAACCCCGGGACTTTCTAGTAAACAGCTCGCCTAGCCCTTGTCCCCACCCCCATCCCCGCCGCTCGGCTTTCGCTGATGCCCCTCGCGGACACCCCCTTCACCCCTCCTAAGAAATCCCGGCAGAGAAGGGAGCTGGAGGTGGGGACCCCGAGAGGTCGGGGGCTTAGGACTGTGGGGAGGGGGAGGGGAGATGAGCAGAGGGGCGAGATGGGGAGTGGGAGGGAGACAGCTCCTGAAAAAGAATTTGCTTTCGCACTGGGGTAGAAAATACGCCCTCCTCGGGTTCCGAATTGCCCGGGAAGCGCCCGCTCGTGCGAACGTCAGGAGCACCAGGGCAGCCGCGGTCCGCAGCCTCCAAGCCCCTCGCACGCGCCTCTGACAAGGCACCTCTCACCCGGGCTCCGCTTTGTGTGTGCATTTTTTTTTTCCCTTCCTCTCGCGCGCGGCACCGGGCGCCCGGCCGCCTCCTCCCCCTCCCCCGCCCTCCGCCTCCCTTCCCGGGGCGGATTACCTTTCCCGGGCTGCGCTCCGGGTCCCGGGGATGCCTTCAGCGCCCAAAGAGCAGGCGATCCATCGCGGAGCGGCCCGAGCCGGAGGGAGGCGTGCGGGGGGCGCGCGGGGGCGGCGAGGGGCGCGGGCGGGCCAGAACCTTCGACCCCGGAGGTCCCGCCGCGGGCTGGGGCTGGGGGCCGGGGGGCGCGGCACGAGAGGGAGGCGGGGGTGGGGGGGGAGAAAGGACCCGAGCAGCCTCGTTCTGGGGAGAGAGCGAGCGAGGGGGCGAGGAGAGGGAGCGAGGGCGCGGCGAGCCAGAGGGAGCGCGAGCGGTGCAGTGACAGGGACTGCCACTGGGGTCAAAGGAGCACAGCTCCAGGAAGCAGGGCGGCTGAGGCGCCGCTCCGTGCGCGCTCCCCGGCGGGACCCCGCGCCCCCGCGCGCCCCTCCTGCAGCCCGGGCGCGCTGGAACCCCCACCCGCGCCCCGAGGCCCCGGGGTTGCAAGAGGAGGAGGGAGCTGAGGGCGAGGCCGGCAGACTGCTGGTGCTCTCGGGTCAAGCAGGCAGCAGGAAGCTGAGCCGCAAGTTCATCATCTGGAGTGTGGTCAGCGTAGAAATGATAGGGGACCGGGGAGGGGGACGGCTGCGGAGCCCCAGAAAAATAAAGGGAGTTTTCCCTCCAAATGGGCGTCTTCCGCAGAGAGAACACCCAGGCCCCCCCATCCACCGACCTGCCTGGCGCTGTCTGGAGTCCTGGCACAGCTCCAGGGCGCCGAGCTCGCCTCGGGGGCAAGGGGAGCGGCTCGGGCACGGGGCTCAAACCAGGGAAGGCGACCCTGGGTCCTCTCCCATCTGCTGAGCTTAGGCTTTCCTGGGGAAGAGCTGTGCTCTCTTTCCTCAAGCCTTTCAACTAGCCAGATAGGCACGCACACACACACACCTTTCTCTCTGCAATGTTGTGCCTGAGAAAGAAAAGGCCAATCCAGATGGTAATTTTTTTCACCTCCACGAATTAAGGCAGGTTCAGAATTAGGGGGTGAGGAGGGCCAAAGACTCTAATTTTTCCCATTTTTGTTTTGGGAGCACATATCCCCCTTGCCCCCCAAACAAGAAGCACTTCAAAAACATTTTAAAAATCAAAGTTGGTCCTGTTTTCTGCTACTTTCAATAATGGCAAAAAAGACTTTCAGGATTGTATGCAAACAACCTAAGGAAAGGAAAAGCTGCTGACATGCTAGAGGACAGAAGACAAGGAAGAGAAGGCTTTTAGAAAACTTGGTTGGTGAGGCCCTGTGTAAAAGACGAAGTGGGCCTGTGATGTTATGCCATTGTCAGAGCTGAAGGATTTGGACTGCAACCAGATCTAATTCTTTTCCAGGAGTGGGACTCAGAGACCTAGGCATTCTCCAAAGGGAGATCCAATGGATGTGTGTGTGAGAGAGAGACGTGTGCTAAGTATACTATTTGACAACTGACTAGACATCCTGGCTGAAATTATATCCCCTAAAAATAAAAAGGAACCATTTCAACCTGGTCTGTGGCCTCTGTGCTGAGACTAATTGGTTTCCAGGGTCTGGGGAGGAAGGGAAAGAGGCTGGTAGGAGCCCCTATAAAAAAAAGATCAAACGGAATTCGCTAGAAAATATTTCCCTTTTACAATGGGCTTTCCTGGCACTTGAATTTTAAGTAACCTATCTCTTATGCCTGAGCTGAAATGAAGGGAGAGATGGTGTTGCTAATAAATTTATTTTGTTGTACAGTAAGCCAGTGTGTCAGTACTTGTCAAATGTTCTGAGATCAAGAGGACAGTGATTCTCCTTGCCCAGCACAAATCACAGCAAGTGGCATTGACATTAAAGATGGCAAAGATTGGGGAGGGAGCACCTTTAAATTTTGTTTTTGTTTTCCAGTGTAGCAGGAAATACTGACTAGAATCATGTTGCTGAAGAAATGCTTGGTTTTGTTTTCCTTCCTCTGAGTTAGTAGTGCACTCCTCTTATCTAAATGGTTTGAATTTTTTTACTGATTTGGGCTGATTTTATCAGTTTAAAAAAAAAACACAAGTTAAATAATTTCTGTGGTTTTCTTCCTTTTTTTTTTTTTAATAACTGGTAGTCAATCAAAACAGCCAAACTTAAATTCATGCGTGAACCTGAATCTATATGTGTGCACACAGATAATAAATAATAATGTGTTCTACCTAGTAGCACATGTTACACGATATTTAATGCTATACAAAACAAGTGAGTGATCCTTTCATCAACAAAGTTGATGAAAATTTGTATATCATTTTACTGAGTGGGGAAAAATTGAGGCAAAAAAAAGCTGCTTGAAATTGTAACTTGTAGCGTAGGAGGAAGTCATCCTCTTCTGTGTTCCTGATGATCAGTTATCCACTGGGAGAAGTAGTGACCAAGTTGTATTACGGCTATGAATTTTTATTTCTATTAGGTTACCAAAATAAAGAAAGCCTGAGAAATAGCAGTAAATTTAAAATAATAGTCAGGAACAAAAGGGACTCACTTTTCAAATAATTCTCATTACATGGATTTGAACATGTTGTGTTTTGTTAAATCATATTCTCCATCAATATCGCTACCTATACTAAAAGCTTGTTTTAAAATGATTGGATGTGAACCATGTCTGTCCCCCGACATCAGCTTTGAAACATCGAGCCTCATTATAGCAAATTTGAAATGCTATAGGCTGGGACTTTTTTTTTTTTTTTAAACATAAGTGAGCCTATAAGGTTCATTTTTTTGTCATTGTTAAATTCAATTTTTATTGTTTATAATGGAAAGTAAAAGAAGGCTAAAAATAAAATGCCAAGTTTATGATTGCCTTTATGCAAATATTACAAATTTTTCCCTTTAATGGAATGTAAATTTGGACCCTTTCTCCAGTGATTTCATCGAAGGAACTGGCAAATATGCTTCCTGATAGCCTCCTGCAATATCTTTTAAAATATCTTTTCAGAATGCATTCAGGGAAGAAAATGAGAGAGTAGAGCGTGGGAGAACTTTAGGTGGAAGCTTGGAAAGTGGATGCTACTTCCCTTGAAAGCTTAATACTTTATTTGGCATTAGCTCTCATTCTCCCTGTGAGGATAGGTTTTCCAGTACTTTAGGGACACGTGTATAACTTAAAACTGGTTCAATCCTGTGGTTCTTCTTCAGGAAAAAAAATTATCAAAACTATTGCATTTCACTGAATAATTTTATTGAAATTATGTACACCAATCTAACTCTATGAACAAAAAGCAACCATTTTGCTTCTTTTTTCTATTAAAATTTTCTGCATCTTTATCATTTTCCAGTAAAGCTTAAGATTATAGGTTATAAGAAATCAGAGCCTGCTGACAGAACTACTATTATGGTGCAATTTAAAAAAATCTGAGCCAGTGAACATCCTCATTTTATTTTTAATTCCTATAGTTTTCATATTTTTGACTCGTTTCAAATGTAGGGGTTTTTTTATTTGTTTGTTTTTGTTTTGTTTTGTTTTATTTTGTTATAAACTCCTCAAGTTTAAGAATTATGCCCTTTAGGGCTGCCTGGGTGGCTCAGTTGGTTAAGCTACAGCCTTCTCCTCAGGTCATGATCCCGGAGTTCCGGGCTCGAATCCTGTATCCAGCTCCCAGCTCCAGCTCTGTGGGGAGTCTGCGTCTCCCTCTGACCTTCTCCCCTCTCATGCTCTCTCTCAATCTTTCTCTCAAATAAATAAAATCTTTTAAAAAAAATTATACCCTTTATTCCTTTGTGTCCTTTGTTCTTATGTGCTGTGTACATAGTAGAAACTTGGAAATATTTATTAAATGACTGTATGGGTCAATAAATGAGGAAGTGAGTAAGAGAAAGCATCAGTGAAGGAGACAACTATACAATCAAGGAAAATCCATACCAGATATGCAGAAACAGAAGTGATGTCATGAGGCCAGTGTCAGAGGATAAGAGCTAAGACCTTCTTATGGTGTTCAAATAGTACATTTAAAAGGGTTTGCTAATATCTTTATAAACATGAAATAATACATAAGACTGTTTCAGAAATTGATTTTCTCATAAACTGAAGATTATCACGTATCACACCTGTTTAAAGTGAGCCTTTTAAAAAATACAGTAAGATATAAAAACAAAAAAATCCCTGAGTAAAATTTGAATCTTTAAATTCAGAGATACTAGTCTCAAAAGAAACTTATGTGATTAACCTGATTTTTTGATAGATCGTTTTAGAAGTTCTCAAAATAAATATATGTGTTTTGTCCTT